CGTTGGCGTGGTTTTCCAGCCTTTGTGGTCTGTGGATGCATTGCCACAGAAACACCAAGGCTAGGTTGATTCCTCACATCTGTTGAGGGCATTGCAGTAGCCATGCTTGGGCCGGCGCTGCTTTCGCCACCGGTAACCAAGAGAGACTGGAACCTATTTTTCGAACGTGAGCCTCTGCCTAACCCACGAACGCGGACCTTGTTAACTCGGGCGACGTCCGAGCCAGTATCATACTTAGATCTGGTTACTACCATCATAAATTTCTCTACAGAATGTGGGTATGTGATCACTCTTAGCTTCATTTCTCCCCATAGACCTTACTGGCATGGGTGTCCCTACCAGGAGCTTGTGCTCCAGCTTGCATTGCCCTATAAATCAGTAAAATTACTGGGCTCTCCCACCACGACCAGGTGGTGACCACGGGAGAGTTATTATTATTATTATTATTTAGATTTATTTAATTTTTATTCAAAAATTAAGTTTATTTTAATTTCGTAATATATTAAAATCTGCAAACGAAGTAGCACCACATTCTAAAAACGCTTGTTTTACAAACTCTCTTTCTAAAAGAGGTTTTCCGTGGCGAGCAATGCAATGGGCAACATGAAAGCTAGCAGATATATAGCAGATTTTATTTTTTAAAATCAAAAAAGGTTTTAAAACACTGGATTCTCTTTTTTCTTTTGTAAAAAATACGTTCTTCTTTCCTCATCTGTTGAAAAACCGAGATTAGAATGCAACTTTTCAAAATGTCTTTTTACATTGTATATACGTGAAGTGACTTTTTCGTTACAAATTACACACAAAGTCGTTTTATTCTTTTCAATCACACCATTTTATCAAACAAATTTGTTTGATATGATCTGGAACTTGTATCGTTTGTTTGTATTTTTTAACTGCCAACATAGTACAGGGCTACAAATAAAAGTATTTATATTTAGAATGCAATAATTTGAAAAGAAATTTCTTGTTAACGTACTTGATATACATACATATGTAGATGAGAAACTTTAATAATGAAAAAATAAGTAGGCAAGGCCGTATTTCGGACAAATTGCAACTCCTGACATCTACTTTTTCATACATCTAAGATTTTACAAATACGTGAGCCGTTCACAGCCAGGCACAGATACTTGTAAAATTTAACTGACTCGTACAACATGGAATTCATATAAAACGAAACTATCAACAGTGTTATAGGGTGGTCAACTGTAAAATGCAATAAACAGCAAACAATAGTATTATTATAAACCAGATTTAATAACAATAATCATAATACATTTGATTCTCATCATTTTTATCTATAAAAATATAATTTACAATTTACGAGTAAAGTTCAATAATAGGTAGAATTATTTCGATGCAGTTTCTAAATGCACTCGTCTAGATTATATGATGTAGGCCTATGTTTATATATATTTGTAATAAAAATTACCCCAACCTTTAGATTATTTCATATCTTACAACATTCATCTTTTTTCTACACACATTCTTATACCTGATATTGGAGTCAAAAGAACTTCCGCAGAAGTAACGATCTTATCTTGAGGATCCAAAGAGTAAACTTTAAAATTACGAAGAACATTTGCTAAAACCATTTTCATTTTAACTATGCCGAGTTTATTTCCTGTAAAAAAAATTATTTTAATAAAATAATTTTTTATTTGTTTATGTATTTATTCAGTAATCACTTACCGAGACAATTTCGTGGACCTGCAGAAAATGCCAGAAATGCATAAGGATGAAGATTTTTATAGTTTTCATGTAAAAAACGGTCTGGATTAAACACTTCGGGATTTTCGTAAACAGAAGGATTATGATGAATATTACAGATACTTATGACAAGAGTCGAATTTGCAGGCAACACGTAATTACCTGTTTGAATGACAACGATTTAATGCTTCGAGTCAATAATGAATATAAAGTATTATTATAGAAAAATAAATTTCAAGTTATCAAAAATTACCTATTTTCATTTCCGAAAGATTTTTTCTTGAAATTAAAGGAAAAGGAGGATAGATTCTCATCGACTCCTGAAAATTGTAATGTATAAAACTAATCCTTGAATGTATTAAAGAAATTAAAAAGTTACCTTAATTACGCATTCTAAGTACGTCATTTTCGTCAGGTCTTCGATAGTAATATCCCTATTCATATCATCTTTGAAAATTTCTTGCAATTCCACATACACTTTCTCTTGTATTTCGTGGAATCTTCCCAGGAAATAAAGAGTCCATGACATAGCGTGGGCGGTTGTATCGTAACCCTGATATTAAAATACGTTGAAAAGACATGTGAAATTGCTTTCTATATAATTGACATTTTCAGTAAAATAAATACTGTATAATAAACTTGTAAAATTGAAATATGGAAGGCATGAATATCGCGCTTCTTTCATATTAATGTCATACCAGTTTATAATGGTTCCTTGCATCAAGCAGTTAACATAGTTCTTCGTACTATTTATATCAAAATACCAATGATCTGATTTCGAGAGTTTACTGTTTCCTCCAATAAGAAAATAGTCCAGAAACTTTTAAATGGCGACAATTGTATCCGGCGTAAGTTTCGGTGATAAAATGAAAGAGAGGAAAAATGACGTCATTTCACTTTTTCCCAAATACAAGCATTTATGGATGAAGTCGAAAATAAATAACATTAATACAAAGGAGGATGGTTCCAACTGTTTCTTCTCGCGTAAAACGTAATTATTGAAAATTAGACTTAATTTTAAAAAAGTGAAGTGTTAGTAATGTATTGTACAGTACATAGCAGCAGAGATGAAAATTCGACATAAATGGAGAGAGATTACAAAAAAATAGTTATTAGAATTTCTAAATAATCATTATAACAATTCTGTTTATAATTATAACACGGTTAACAGAATAAAATGCCATACATGCACTCTTTTAAAAACAAAGTTTCAGCTAATCAATGACACTAAAAATTCTTTTCTCAACATTCAATATTATCAGATTAATTCTATGAACAAAATGTCTTCGATCGTTGAACGAAATGAAGATTAAATTGTCCACAAACTATGTAATTAGTCGAACGAAACAGCTAAATACACATCGTCCAGCTTGAATTGTCTTGACTTACGACAAACCATTACATGTCGTAATATAACGACATATTAATATATTTACGACGTTTTCGGTCATTCGGTTATTATGGACTTGAATATTTCGGATTACAAAATATTTCGATCATCATCTCAGACTTTACTTGCTTTGAATACTTTCAATCGTGTTTATGAAAGGAATTTAATTAATTAATACTCGAAAAAATACTTTGATAACAGATAATAACTTACAGAACTGAGTTACAAGTGTAGAAACTATCATTTTTCACCCGAATATCCCGCTGTAATTATACATAATAATAATGTTTAAAAATCAGTAGATACACATTTTTAATTTTTCAAAGTTATGCCTTTCCTGCATGGATATAAATAGAGAAAATATACAGTAATTAATGAACCTTTCGTTTTATATCCAAAATTTCTTCCTATTACATTTCGCATAATAAAAATATAAAAGGACAAAATTCAAATTCAGATTACAAAACTACAAATTTTTAAATGTTAAAATATTATAAATTAATCCGAAATTACAAATATTATTTACTGCCAGCAGATTCAGCCAAAATTGCTGTGGCTGTGGCTCAAAATGTATCTATTATAAATGTATAACACTACCCCGCGGGGGAATTTCGTAAAATTCCTTATTTGTATACATTACCTTGACGTACCCTTATATTTCAATACATTGTTTAGAATAACATTACATTAGAATAATGAAAATAGTATCATTAATTAAAATACATGCGTGCACGATTATATAATTATTTCCGATTAGACATTAAGTAAATTATGCCTACCGCGAAAATAGCGCCTTCCATATCACTGATAACATCTTCTTCCGATATTAAACCTTGTTTAACATGAAGATTTAACAATGAATCGATAATACGCTCTTTTGTTTTCATCTTTGGTTCTTCTTCATTATTTGTTTCTTTCTCTAAGGAATGTTGCTGCTGCATTTTTTTCACAAAAAAAATTTTTTTTCTCTTGAAAACCTACTCATTGAATTAAATCATTAATTACTTAATTACTTAAATCAAAACATAAAATTCCACTCACAAGTTGAGTTTACCTTTTCGTCGAAACGATGAATTATTTCAATGTCTCTCTTGTAATTTTTTCCTATTTTACTCATGAAGAAAATTGGGGAAAGCCAGTACATTGGATTCGCTGTCCATTCAGGAAAATTTTTCAAAATTCTAAATTTTAATATAAATTATTATTATATCAAAAGATAATTAATTCAAATTTAAAGCTTGGATAAAAAATAAAGTACTGTCAACTATTAAATATACATAAAATTTAACATTACATATTTCATGTGAAGAACATTATAGAATTTTCTTAAATTGAAATAATTTAAAATATATAAAATTTAAATCATAAATTTATGTTATTCTATATATTATTTTCTTATTTTTGTGTCGAAAATGTGCAATAAATGCAAGAAAGGAAACTTTGCAGTTATTTCATATCGTAATTTATTTATTTTCAGAAATATTACAAATAAGTTGATGGGCTGTATGTTTTTATAGTTTGATTGGATGTTTAAACGTTAACTTTTCGCTATCATGAAGATTTCTTCTATAGTACTGAGGCAATAGAAAAAAAACGCAAAAACGGATAAATATTAGTTATTTTATCGTAACAACGGTACGCTTTGCAGAAAGTTCATCTGTCACACATTTGTCGTTCATGTTATACCGTTATACAAATTTTCCCTCTTGTCTAGAAAATACATGAAGTTTACGTTTAAAACATTATAACATATAATTAAATTAATTTGAAAATCTTTCATATATAATGAACAGATTGTATTCGTTGTATTCGTTTAGAAACTCGATACTTCACTCTACACATTTTTCTAACAACTCTTTATTATGATCAGCACGTAAAGCAAAAACACTTCATTTATAATGTACAAACTTAATATTTGGTTAATTGATAAACAATCAGAATTTAAAATATTTTGTGTTCCTTCTACTGAAGTTGATTAGAACATTTTAAAAATTTTTCAGATAAAAAGTGACATTATATTATTTAATACAGATATGACATTTGTAAATATTATTTGAAAATGAAGAAATATATCTGGAAATGAATTTTGCCCTGTATTTTACCTGTGTATTGCGGACACATATTCTTGATCGTTCGTAGTCTGAGAATGTAGAGAAACTCCTACTGCTATGTCTACATAAAAATAATTTGATATTTATATATTTTTTAGATAAAAAGTGACATTATATTATTTAATACAGA